CCACATGGATAAGTGTGTCCCTTTATCAAAAGCAATATTGTTCATGCCTTCCTGAACACATAAAGTAGACTTTTAATGGCATCAGCACACAACTCTCAGTGTATTAAAAGTGCATTGTACATGAGAAATGTATTTGGTAGCTGTGTTGGTCTGAGACAAAAAGAAATGCAAAAATCTAGAATTCTTGGTTCAGAGATGATGCCTTGTATTAAACCAACTGAGAAATTGCAAAAAAAATAACTTTTTCTGCAAAAATGAAATTTATTTGCTCCATATAGGGACTTTTTTACGCTCCATATAGGGACTTTTTTACCCTCTTTAACTTTTCCTGAACCTGATGAAGAGCATGAGCCCAAAAGCTTGCAAAAAATATATATTTTTTGCTATTGCTCAGTTCATCTAATAAAAGGTATCTCTGAACCAAGAGTTACAGATTTTTGCATTTCTTCCTGTGTATACAAGGACACCTTTAGTGCCGGTACCTATACTTTATGAACCCAGCACGCCTTCTAGTGGTGAATTCAAGCACGTGCAATCAAAGAAAACAAAATCAGACTGTCAAGGACTTTTCTGAGGTTGCTTTCAAGAGACCAGGCAAAAAATAATCTGGCATTGTGCATCAAGACCATTCCAGGTTGTGGACATCCACAAGTTAGACATATAAACAACTCTCTCCCCCACTGGACATCAAACATGTGCCTATTTTTTTTAATGTAATTAAACATCATTTAAGTTGTGTGTGTGCTTGTGTGTGTGTGTGTGATACACACACATTGGAACAGTTATACTACATAATCTTAATGTTTGTTTAAAGTTTACTTTTTGGATGAAAGCTCGTGAGAGAATAAATAACAGATGCTCAAGGCATCCATTACGTATTTTTGCAATTAGCAGAAAATCCTGGTACTTTTCCTAAAAAACGTACATCATTTTGTGGGATGTTTATTGCTGGAAGCCACCTCTTAACCCTGGCAGAGAGCAGAGTCCCAGAGTTTGTGAAATCTTTACAAGGAGTCACAAACTGCAAGGAAAATGTGCAGTGTCCTTTCTGAATAGGAAATAACTTGGCTTCCTAGCATCTGAATCATGCGGAGCTGGTCAAAAATAATAAAATATTTTTCCATTGAAAATGTTACTAGACATGGGGGAAAGCATCATTCTCACTTTATATCGCCCCCGAAAAATGTTGATTATTCAGGCTGAAACTGGACATACTCAGGAAATGGTCTGAAATGAAGAAAAGCTTTGATTTTCTGTGCTTTGTGCTCTCCTCTCTGGAGTGGGGTCTCTGGTCAGACTATGGTCTCCTGTGTTGGAGAATGAAGATGGATCATCATAAAAAAATAGGATGGGGTCATGCAACTGAACTGCATCTCCCATAGGGCATGAGGGCAGCACTTCTGAAGGTGGAGGTTTGGACACAGAGTTTTGCAATGAAAAACTGAAATGCCTTGTGGGAAGCAGATACATTTTGCAACGATATTTTGTTTAGCTGAAAACTGAGTTTTCCACCCTTTTCCTCCCCCCATCCCAAGTATCTACAAGGAAAGCAAACTAGAAAGACGGTCGGAGAATGGGTATCTGGAAGTTAAGGGAGTCTGGAGGTCTCATTTGAGGATCAGCGTGATGAGGAAGTAGGTTGCTGGAGAGGATGTAAGGGGCTGATTGTTTCAATCAAAAGACAGCTTGCAACATTAATGAAAGGGTGAATTCTAACTGTAACTACATGGTGCATTAGGGTTAATGTAACACGGTATTTAAGCAAGATAGTAGTAAAAAAAGTCATGCATTTCTTGCATGTCAAACTGCTTTATAGGTGTTACTGGATTCACCTGATGTGAGAAATCATTAGTGCCCCAGTTCAGAAGAAATGTGTGCATGTGTGTGTGAAGTAGACAAGTGCCTGTTTAACCCTGTAGTGTTGATGGCCTATCCCAGAAATGGCACTGCAGAAGAGTTGCACCTCAATGATAGAGGAAATCTAGGTCGGAAAATGGAGTAGCCTGGGTTAGACCATAACATGGGCCTCAAGGCTAACACATTCAACAATTAACACAGGATATTTAGTAAATCCAAATGCTCAGGACCTTAGTTGCATCTCCTAGAGGGGGTAAGCAAGGGCAGTAGCCCTGAAACCAATCCAAAGTAATGGCTATGTTGAATCAGAAGAGCCTGCTCATCACCAGTACTGCTTTCTCCATTTCCCAAGTAAGAGTCCAAGAGAGAGACTGCTTCACTTCCAGGATCTGCCATGGTCCCAGCAGAAGAAGACATCTGAAAACCTTCTGCACTTTTTATGTTGTCTAAGGAAGGCTGATGCAACTCAGCCATGTATTTGCATGCCACTTTTTGGTCCTTGCAGGGTCAGCTGCTATCACTGATCCATTCCATGAAAGGTAAATTTGATGCCCCCTTAAAGCATCTCCACGTTTCCCATGGTAATTGTTGGGAGCACCACCCATCTTGGCCATTTGCTGAAAAAATAGAGCAATCCTTTCATTCTTCAAAATAGGCACTCGGGGGGGGGGGGGGGGGGGGG